ATGCGCATTACTCCATCCCATACATATAGGCTCAAATTAGACTCAAAATGACTGAGCTTGTAAAGTGACCTTAACAAATAATTCCAATGTTTTGTAGTTGTAAATCAACATTTGTTAACCTGTAAAATAAATCTGCATGACAAATTCAAGTTTCTGCATGTGTAGAAGAGGTTTGTATTTGTTCAAGTCTGAATGTAAATTATGAGCAAATGATCAGTGGTGAGGTTAAACAAAAACATGTAAAAGCATCAATGGTTTTGTCAACATCTGTGTCCTGATACAGAGAAAACTGTAAAACGCTGTTCCCACACACTGACGTTACAAAGGTCAAAATTTAAGTTTTACAGTTTTCTGCTGTGTCTGCACAGACATCCACAAAAGCATTTGTTCTTTACCTGTCTTTGTTTAACCTCACCACTGAGCATTTGTTTTTATTCATATTCTTCTTGAACAAAGAAGAATACCCCTCCCCCACCACCTCCACCCCCACATGGACAAACTTCAATTTCTCATGCAGATTAATTTCACAGTTTTAAAAAGGTTGAATTAAACTACAAAATTAGTTAAAATGACTGTTAATTTCTGTTAAAAGTAATTTGTATTTTGTGTAGTTACATTTCCACACAGATCATAGTCTAACGTTTGAAACAATATTCTGTTTATTACATTTAAGTTGTCGTCATATTGAATGCATCAGAAAACAATGTGGATGTGATTATTACTTGGTTGAATATTACAATTAAAGTACTTGTTTGGAAACTTGCTGTGTCTGATTTGTTAAGTAACTTATAGTGAACTGTTGTTGACTGTAACTATTTGTACCTCGGCTCAAATTAGGGTCAAAATGATTTTGAGCTTATAAAGTGATGTTTACAAATAATTCCAATGTTTGTAGTTGTAAATCAAGTCTGAATCAACTCAACAAATGATCAGTGTTGAGGTTGAACAAAGACACTGTAGAAGAAATGGATTTGTCAACATCTGTGTTGTGATAGAGAAGAAAACTGTCAAACTCTGGTCAAAAGTTCCCACAGTGTGACACTGAAGTGACAATGATCAAACTTTGTACTTGTCAGTGTCTCACACTGGGAATGTTGCACACTGAGTGTTACAGTTTTCTGTTCTTTATCTCTGTACACAGACGTCCACAAAAGCATTTCTTCTTTCCCTGTGTCTTTGTTTAACCTCCACTGATCATTTGTCCAGTTTTGATTCACACAGTCTCAACAAATACAAATCTCTTTGACAAGTGCAATTGTTTCATTTATGCAAACTTGAATTTTCATTTTTTTTTTTTCATGCAGATTTATTTTCCAGTTTTACAAAGTTTGATTTACAACTACAAATATTGGAATTATTTTATAAACATCACTTTATAAGCTCAAAATCATTTTGAGCCTAATTTGAACCGGGGGCTAAGTCGGGGGCTAAGTCGTTCAGACAAGGCCTGCACTGGGGCCGGGAGCTAGCCGCCGTTCCCGTTAGCATTAGCTTTTTTTTTTCTCTTTATTGGTTTATCTGGGACAAACAGAGGGGGGGGGGGGCTAGCTTGCTAGCATTAGCAGTTAGCATTAGCTCTTTTTTTTCTCCTTTTATTGGTGAAAAAAACAGGGACAAACATTACAGAGGGTTGGGGCTTGCTAGCTAGCATTTGCATTAACACTGATCATCAGGACTGTTCTCGGACCGTGTGTCTGCTGTTTGCTGCTGAGGAGGTCGTGGACAGTGGCTACGGCCCAAGAAGTTTATATATTCAAAGATGACAAAGACTGTAAGTGAATCATTATTTTACTACACAGTTCTTTTTTCTTTTCTTTTAATTGTATTCTTAAATTGCGTTCACCATGGCCTTAAGAAGGTCTGGAAAACTCTTCAACACCAAGATGGAAAGTTAAAATGAGCGCAGTGCAAAGACTGGACACTGACTGTTTCCCTGGTAAAATGTTGTAAACAGTTTCCATTGAGCACAATGCTGTTACTGTATGTGAGGATTAATGTGTAATTTGTGCTTTCTTTTATTCTTGCAGCTCACATCATGTGCTGTGGTGCAGTGGATGGATGGGCATCGCTTGAGAAAACTAAAGTCGTGACTCACTATCACAGGGGGAGGAGCTCTGGAGAGAGATCATCAGTTTCACCTGAACCTCAAGTTCTGTTAGTAAGTTATATGATAAGTTTGTGGCGCTGCAGTGACTCACTGTCGCCTCTTGAGGAACAAAGTGGTATTACAAGATGAGACGGACTGTTCAGGACATTAAGCAGCAGTTACACAGTGAACCTTTCTAAGACAGTCTCAGTGTTTCCTCTAGGATTTTTTTCAGCAGTGGGGGACAGCTGCAGTGACTGAGGTCAGTGTCAGGATGAGTCTCTACGACATGAATGAAACTGAAAGTAACGTCCTTTGTGCAGATTGAAACGAGGAGTGAAGTTCACGCACCAAGCAGCAGCAACATTCAGAAGTTCTCCAGGAGTTTTCTAGTTGTTTATTATTCTCTGTCCTCAGTTTTCACAGATTCAGTTTCTTGCCTTTTACTTCATTTCTACTGTTGTTGATGGATGACAGTAACAACATGTGAAGAGCAGAATGTGTTCAGCTCTAGCACAGTCACCACCTTCACAGGTGAAAGTATCGACCAGTTTAACATCAAACGGTGTTCAGTAGGAAACAGATGGAACTGACCCACCAGAACTGCAACCTGGAGCAAAACCAGACTCTTCATAGATGTGATGCTGTGACCTCAGAGACGGATGTGTTCACCTCACACACTCTTTAGTGTGAACTGAACACTGACAGTTCAGATTGTGAAGCAGTTGTCAGTGTAGTACATTACATTACAAGGCTAATGTAACGTGTAGTTAACAGGTTGGGAACAGTATGGTTGAGTATTTACAAAATGCAGAGACACTTTTTGTCTTGGGGATGAGATGATGTCGTACCAGACCCTCATCTTCATCTTCATCATTTCAGCCCACACCAACAGGCTCTACTCTGGGGCTGCAGCTGTGTGTGTCAAGACATGTGACACCAAACAGCCTCCACACCTGGAGCTTCTCCAGCGTCTGTTGTTTATAATGCACATTTGTATTCATACATAATAAACCTGTGTTTATGTTATTTTGTGAAATAAAATCTCATATTGGTTCACACCTTCTGCAGGAGTCTGTTCTTCTGCTGTACTATCAGGACTAAATGAGTCTAGACAGAACATAAATATTGTAAAGCTCAGAACATTCAGGCAACATGTTCTTTTTCTTTTCTGTAGCGTCGGCAGCTGCTGAACCTGCTGAACCCCTCATGTTCTTCAGACTGAATATACAGCATGACACAGATTTACAAACAACAGACATATTGAAGCGAGAAGATCTTTATAGAATAGTAATGATGTAAAAATAAACTACAGTTTAGAGAAGAATGGGGATCAGTGGTCTGAGATTTGGTCTAGATCTTTCAGTCCTCAGCGTTCCTCATTAACAGCAGAACGTCTCAGACAATTTGCTTTTATTTTATCCATTATTCACAGATTTATGCAAAATAAATATATCTATAAATACATTGCTCATTTCTGATGTTCATTATCTAAAGATTTCACAGAAACAAATGACTGGGTTATAAGTAGGAGGAAGTCAACTGTTTTAAACTGCTCATTTAGACACATTTATTCATAAAGATTGAGGAGAAGAATAAAGAGGAGAGAAATAAGATTAGATCATAATGAGAACAAAACAATAGAGGAAAGAAAAGAGAAGGGAAGAAGAAGAAAGACAAGTAAAAAATAAAGGGAACAGAGAAGAGATGAGGGGAAGTGAAGCATGAAGCTGCAGTTACTGTCTGTGTTCACTAGATGGCGCTGATGTTCTGCTGTAGAATGTGAAGCAAAGACATGATGTCTGAAAAACAAGCTTCAGGTTTAAAGTGCTGCAGAGGCCAAGTTACTGTTTGAAACTCAAACAACAGAATGCTCAATAATCAATAATCAATATAACAATCCAAAACTTCACGAGCATGAGGAGGCGTTCACTGTTTCCCTGAAACATTTAAATTGTCCTCTGCGTTATTTTGTTCAGTCAGTTACTCTAATGAAAAGCGTTTTATTATTGATACGTCATGATACTTGTAGACACCTACACGCACAACACACTGTTGCCAGACCAAAGCTTAAAAACTTCTAGAACAAGACTTCCGCTCTGTCTTTTGTTCCAAAATAAAAGCACCCTTAAAACTTTCTACACAGCTGCAGAACGCAGAAACAAAAAAGCAAAAACATTAAACAGTAAAATATAAATATACACAATAAAAGGCTGTAATAAAATAAATTAAAAATCCTCCTCATGTAAACAGCAGCTGTAGCTAAATTAACACGTTTCAATAACAGTATCAATACTTGAGTACTGAAGCTTCTACACTTTACATGAGTATTTACATTTCATGACAGTTTATACTTCTACTTCATATTGTACATATGCGTATTATATTTATATATTTTAGGATATCTTTCACATTTTTACTGTAAATATTGAATTTAAAAAAAACTCTTATTTATATTTAAGCTATCTGTCCTGCAGTATTTACTTTGCTTTATCTTTCTCATTTTTCTTCTTACAATGTTTGTTGTAATGAACAAAAGCTGAATCCCTCCTGTGTGAAAAGCTACTTGGCAACAAATGTGATTCTGATGCTCCTCGTCATTTCAGAGGGAAATATTTTACTTTTTACTCTGAGTTCTTCCTCCACTAACACCTCAGGCCCAATTTCTTTTTGTTTACATTCAACACTTTTATTTTGAAAGATATCGGAAGTCGTTGGTTGTTACTTAAGCCCCCCCGGGGTGTTTCTCCCGCTGCTCCCCATCCATTCCCCCGCTCCTCCTCCTCCCTCAGTCCACAGCTGTGCGCCGCTGTATCGGCTGCTCGTGTCGCCCGCTCTCCTCGCCTCCTAACCGGCTTTCTTCACTGGGGAACACCGCTGGTCTGACCGTGTCCGTGGAACATCAGGGTGAAACATGAGTCCCGGGTCCCGGAGCTGGTCGTGGGTCTGGTCGTGTCTGCTGAGCCTGAGTGTTTTGACCCGGGCTCTGGAGCTGGAGGAGCTGTTTGAGTTCGGAGAAGAAGCCGGAGACCTGTCGCTGCCGCCCGGCTCGGACTCCACCGCCGGGCTGCCCCTCAACGGATCTCTCTTCTTCTTCGGCGACACCGTCGACAAAGTTTACGTGAGTTTAACGTCCAGTTGTCGGTGTGTTTAACGGGAAGGAGGGAAAATTTAACCGCCAGGTTCATTCATGAAAGAAGAGTCAGTGAAAAGAGTGGGACAGAAAATTCTGTCAAAATCCTCAAAACTGATCATCTCTATCAGTTTGAACTGAAAGTTGATCAACTATCGATCAGAGTCACAACAAATTAAACACAATCAATAAGACAAATAAATCCAGTATTTCAGAAATAAAATAATAAATTATAACAAACAATAAGTATAACAAAGTACCAAATCCAAGTTAAAATGACTGAAATTCAAGTAAAACTCGCCATAAGTTTAGATTTTAACATTTCTGTCGTTTATCATTCAAATTATAAAATGTCCAAAATAATGGGAAATCAAATGTGTCCAGAGATTAAAAGTTAAAAAATAAACTACTATCAAAGTGATAAAAACAAACAGATTTCTCAGCTTCACAACATGAAAAACAAAAAGCAGATAATTAATATTTTCACTTGATAACCAACATGAACCAGTGATGAAAGTTAAAACTGACAAAAAAATAACAGAATCTCTTCATTTAAACCCTTAAATCTCTTTAAACCTCAATCAAAGTTCTGTGGAAATGTACAGAAAATAACTTTAGTAAGTAAAATGACTGAGTTTTGATCACAAAATGACCAAAGTTAAAGTTCTAATCTGTAACTTTTCCATATTAAAATGTCTAGAACTACTTTATACTAATAATACTAATATTTTAATCATGGTAAAACTTCGTTTTCCTCAGTGTATTAGTTACAAATGGACTTTTAAGTCACATTTTTAAGATTCACTTTTTCCACCTTGGTGGTTTTCAGCTTGTTATTTGAACCAGATGAAGAATTTTAGTCGTCGGACGTCTGGATCTGAAGTTATCAGAGGAAATGTTAGCGGCAGCTCGGCTCCCAGCTGCTCCTTTATGCTGAATTGCATCAGAGAAAAACTTATTTTTAGCTTGAAACTGTTGATGAATAGTTTCTACTGGTTTTAATCCCCTGCTCTGTTTGTTGTGGAGAGGAGGAAACCTCTGGGGATAATTCAGCTGCTGAATCACTGAACGAACCAGGAGAAGATGATAAAAATGACGCTAAAGATGGTGAAGACAACAACTCCCATGATCCCACGCTACTTCATGACGTCTCCGTCTTTTGTTATTGTTTTGATTGAGAGACGCCTGGAGGCAGAAAATGACTTGTCGTACCTTTAAATCCCATCACTCTGCTGAGGTTGTTAAAGAGCATGTGACTCCTCAGTAAAATTAAAGTAGATTTCAAGGGAGTTTGTTGTTAAATTCTGTTAATTAAGAGAAGCTGACTTTACATTAACAGCTGTGATATTCAGGCGGACATTTTTTTTATAAGTGATGTTTGGATTTCCCTCCTTTTCACTGTCACTTCATCTGATGTTTGTGGTTCAATCTTCCACTGAGACGATTTCACCTCCTTTCACTGGTTAAACTTCAGCTTCATTCAGCTGCTTCAAATGTTTCAGCTGTGAACACGTTTGATTGATCTAATCAATAAGTGAACTGTCTTGTCAGTTCGATCTTTGTCTGCTCTGTGTTTGTGTGTGTGTGTGTGTGTGTGTGTGTGTGTGTGTGTGTGTGTGTGTGTGTGTGTGTGTGTGTTTACACCTGAAGGTTTTCTATTGGATCGTAATCCCCCACACATTTAAAAACTGTTTACAAAATAAGAGTCCTGCTGCTTTGGTTTCAGATCAATGTGTGTCTGTGTGTGTGTGTGTGCGTGTGTGTGTGTGTGTGTGTGGTTTGAGGTGTTAAGTATGTGAACAGAGGCTGGAATGTGAGTCAATTAAAAGCCAACAAAGATAAGCCTTTTATCAGCCGACACACACACACACACACACACACATTCCTCAGGTCATGTGACAGCTAATCCTGATTGGAGCATTTACACTTGGAGTTAAACTCAGATCTGTTTCTGTCTCCGACCTTCAGTTTAACTGGAGTTGATTTTATCGTCTTCAGAGATGAAAGAAGAAAAGAATTAAACGTAAACTCCTGGTGGTTTTTCCCGGAGCCTCAAATATGTTCATTTATTTTTGTCATATCTGACAGTAAATTAAATAACTGCAGGTTTTTATAAAGTTCAGATAAAACAAGTTCATTAAAGTCACAGTGCGCTTGGAGAAAGTGTAAATGGCATTTTTATATTTAAAAAAAAAACATTTTTTAAACTTAATGATTGATCGATTCATTGAGAAAATAATTGATCCAAAACAAAGAGAAGTTCAAACGGAGCGTCTGTCAGTTCGTCAGTTCGTCAGTTCGTCAGTTCGTCAGTTCGTCAGTTCGTCAGTTCGTCAGTTCGTCAGTGTTGAGAATCGGTGGCAGGAAGTGTTAAAATCACACCCCTTGCTGTTACTAGAGCTGCATCGATTAGTTTAATGATCAATTAGAGGACTGTCAGGAAATAAAGTGGCAGCTATTTTGATAATCAATTAATTGTTTCAATCATTATTCAAGCAAAAGTTTCAAACATTTGATGGTTAAAGCTTCTAATTTGCAGCTTTTCTTTGTCATATCTGATGGTAAAGTCAATATTTTTGCATCTTGGACCAAACAGGCATTTTTCTAAACAAATCGACTAATCAATTAATGAAAAAAATTATTATTATTAATGCTAATCAAGTCCGTATCGCCACAAAGTCTGGGTAAACTTCTCAACAGAGCCTCATGTGGTTTGAACCCGAGGGAGACTTCAAGTCTGGTCCCTTTAGGAACTTGATAAATTGTTTGTTTGAAGAGTTAAAGCTGCTGTAATCAATATTTGTATCATGAAAACGTATGAAATGACCGTGTGAAACCGATTGTAAAGGAGTCTTTGGCGGTGATGAACCGACAGAGAATCAGCAGCTCATCGTCTCCGCTCTCACAGTAGCAGCCTGTTTTCGGAGGAACAGCTGTGAAAAGCCTCCGTCCTCTACCTGTCGTCAGAGAGCAGCTGACTTCATCAGAGACAGTGGATCTGATGCGGTATCACCTGTAGAGCCGGTTCTCTTTTCACTACCTTTTCTAAGCTGCTGAGAGGTCGTTGAACCTTTCCCGACGCCCCGGTGCGTTCACGTCCACTGTTGTTCTTCCCTGTCTCCGCCACTCCACCATTTGTTTTCCACCCCCCAGTTAAAGACAACAGGCCTCAGACCACACAGATCTCAGCGTCTCCACAGGAAGTTGACGGGACTCGGCGGTGAAGGTCTCGCTCCGGTCGCCTTCGTGTTTCACGTTATTTCAGACGCCGAGGGCCAAACGTGTTTAATGCAGCGCAGGCATGTGATTCGCTGCTGTTGTTGGAGGATAAATCAGTTAAACAGTGTTCACCCCCAGGGACAGGAAATGTATGGATGTCATGTGTCCTGTTGGTTTTACCCCACAAGCAGTTGACTGGTTAAATCTGTTCGTCCGGTACTTTGTGCATTATTGTTGAGAAGATACGAGTTTGTGCGCCGATACGAGACGACCTTACTTAGAGTCCGACATCCAAACACAAGCAGCTGGGCAAGAACTTGGTCTGAATAATAAATAAATCAGAAACCGTCTCATAAAAGAATAAATGAATGTGGTTCAGATCAGACTTCTGATACCAGCTTTTGGTTCTTCACAGTTTCGTGTCCCTGTGGCTCGTTGAGACATAAAACTTAGAGTCTGGTGATATTTTATATTCTTCATCTCGTCATTAAATCTCACGTGCAGCCAAACCAACACTGAATGTCTCCGTAGCGATGTAGATTGGTCCTCGCCCATTAAGAGCTTTGTGTATAAGGAGGAGGAGCTTAAATCAATTCTAAATGTAACAGGAAGCTGAACTGGACTGATTAATGATGATGATTAATCGCTGAGTGGCAGAGTTTTTAATGAGCTGGAGCCCAGATGAAGTCATGAATCAATCTTTCAGCATTTTTTATCATAAATGTTTGAATTTTTAGCTGTTTTTTTTACCGCGAAAAAATTCTATTCAGCAGGAACATTTCAGCCTGTAGGGGGCAGCAGGAACTACAGCTGGTGGGCACATCCAGTTATTTTATCCACTTTTATCAAGATTCAGCCTGAAATATTTGGTACTTTTGGGAACTTTGGGTTCTCCACTAGATTTTAAAGTTGTCTGGGTTTTAATAATGTTTGTCTGAAGAACCCGAGTCTGTTACAGAACATGAGTCCGTGGCTTTTAATAATCTTTCTTTATTACGCTGCTTTTTTAATGCTCCTTTTTAAAAATCAAATTTTATGTATTTCTTCTATTACTCCTTCTTGTGTTTTTTCTTATTCTTGTTCTTTATTCTTTTGCAGTATGTAAATCCCTTTAAATTCCCATGCTGTATAAAAAAAAACTGTCCTTGCTCAATAATGGGGATTTTCAGAGTAAAACGTCAGCTGTTGGTGTCCCTCAGCCTCTGCTGGATTTTCTCACAGTGTGAAGCTCTAATAGGTTGCTGTGAATCTGTGGTCTATAAAGGACCCTCCCCCCCTTTTAAGTGTCTCTTCCTACCCCCTCCCACCCCCACCAGAATGAATGACACCCTGTTGGTCTGTGCCTCCCCAGTAATTATCAGTCCTCCGGTGACACTCCTCACCTTTTCTTTTGCATTTAAAGAAACTTGAGGACTGAAAGGTTGAAGTCAGATCTCCTGTCTCCGCTCCAGCTCTCTTCCTCTCACTCGGAGGTTTTTCCGGTCGTACGACGCTCCATCTCTGACAGGAAGCGGCGCGTCCCCGTGGAGTTGGCACATCTGGAACGTATAGACGCGAGACATCTGTCCTCTAAAACCAGATGGCAGCGCTCAGAGTGTTTCCTCCCTCCGCTGTTCTCACACTGATAATGATGATCTCAGGGGTCGGACATGTGTGATGTCAGCGACATCCTGGCAAGTTTCCATCAGAGGAACACATATGATTTCACTCTTTAAACAACACATGTATTATTACATGTACCTTTTTAGTTCACCGTTAGTTTTTCAAGTTTTAACCTGTTAAATACTTTTACATCTGCTTCACATTCCTGCTGATGAATTTAAAAATTAGCTTTTAGATTGATTTCCTTCCATCCAGGCAGCCGTTAGAAAATTCTCACTAAATTTCACGAAAGTCTGCGAAAGAAAAAGCAAATTATTGTGCTGGTGTTTGGAGTCGGTGTATTCTCCAGTCGCTGCCTTTAAAGCTCCTCCAGTGTAAAGGTCTGTGTCCATGTGTAGTGTGATTATAGATCAGCTCTAGCTTCTATATTAATACTGTGAAAGTATCAAAGCCTCAGTCCACAGAGAAATGCACACAGCCTGTATTCAGAAACTGAGCCTTAAAACCAGCCGTCAGGACTTCTGGAACTTTGTGATGTCACAACAAAACAGTCACCAAGCCCCGCCCACCTGGACCCACCATCCAAACCTTGCAGGATTTGGTTTCTCTGAGTGTTTTTACCTGAAATCTGCTATATTTTTATTGGATCACTCAGAAAACAGTCAGCCAATCAGAAGAGTTTTTATCTTGTTAAGTTTCTGTTTACAGGCTGGTTTTTAGTAAATGGATAAGATATGTGCTTTGGTTCGTCTTTGTCTTCAACTTTAGTCTCTATACTCTAATTATCGGAACTGAAACAGAAGCTTTTATAAACTGTTTGTGAATCAACGTCGGGATGAATCTGTTCTTGAAGATTTGAACATTACGATATGAACGACTTCACCGCTGATCCTCTAACACGTGTTTTTAACGTGTTTCTGCTCCGTTAAAGGCACAAACTCTACGTAGCTGATGATGAACATGAAGAAGAAATGTTTATGTTCAGAGTGGACGGAGACCTGATTCCGTCCTCGTCCTCTGTCCTCTGGGAATGTGTTTATCTTGAGATCTGCCGTCTGTTCTGTCTGTGAAGTCGGATACCTGCTGGTAGACCTCGGCCTTTCACCCACAGAGGCAAGATAGGGGGTGGAGTAGGTTGGTGGTGGTGGGGGGGGCACTCCAGGCTTTACAGAGGCACTCGAGCAAGAAAGCTTTCCTCTTTGTCTCTTATTTCCTCACCTCTTCCATGTCGCAGCATCATCTGAGAGTCTCAGAGAAGCTTCTTTCATCTGGTTTCAGGCTCTGACCTTTGAACTATTTGCTGCTTCTGAACATTTGTTTCTTCTTGTTCGGACATGGATTATTCTGTATCTTCAAATGAAACCAGTCGGCTGAGTCGGGACGGTGGAGCTCGGTTTGTCAAATATCATGTGGTTTGTTTTTGGTCAAACCATCATTTTCCCTTTAGAGACACTCAGATTAACCTTGGTTTAATAACTGCTAAACTCTACGTTCACACAAACACACCTGAAAACACACATCACATGACCATTCACCACACTGGACATGTGCGATCCGGTGTAAACAGGAAGTAGATTGTCTCCTCTGCAGTTGTAGCATTAAAACAGAGAATGTAAGTGAACAACAGCTGCTGGCAAAGACGACGTCTGCTAAACGTCACAGTGTCACTTCACCAGCGTTGGGTTTTAGCGTCGACCTGATTTTCATTTTCAACCGAAATTTAACGTCGGTCCAACGTTAGAGTCGTTAGAGTCCAATGTCTTTCTGGTACATCGATGCCCGGTGCATGCTGGGAAAGTGGCACCTTGAAGTTGCTAAGAAACTTCACTGCAGTGAATAAATGACAGACACTTTGAGGAAAGGTTTCCTCTGCTGCTGCAGCTTGAGGAGCTTCTGTGTTGAACCTTAAAACTAGTTGAACTGAACGTTCTCAGTGTGAAACATGGCCGCTCTGTTTCAGCTGGACGAGGCTCTGTAGTGAAAAAACAAGCGTGTTGATGCTGACTGAAGCAGATGTGTGTTTACACAGGTGGAGGGAAACATTTGGTCGTTATATAAGAGTCTCATTTGACTGAATACGTGTCAGAGAAATGATCCAAAGACATGAAGCTCAGATAAAGTTCAACATATTATTCGACCGTAGAGTCAAACTTTACACTTTCCCTTCACATTCTGCAGCAGAAACAAACAACATGTGTTGAAGGTTTGTTGTATGTTACGGTCAGACATGGCAGTTTGTGTCTGTTCACCTCTGAGAGGCCTCCTGAGTCGAACATTAACCATCTGAGTATGTGTGGCATTCTGGGAAACATGGTCCCATAATCCTTCAGTAAATAATAACAGGAGCAGCGTGGAGCCTGTCTGCTGTGTTCCCACTGAGCAGCAAAGCCTGATGGGATATTAACGACACTCTGGTTTGGCTTAAAGTTCACTCCAAACTTTTTATGAAGTTTTAATAAGTTTGGCATGAACGACATCACATTCCTCTTAGCCCCGCCCCCTCAGGTAGCTGTGCAACAGGTATCATTAACCAGCAGCCATTTTGAAACCATTAGCACGTTGCTAACAGTGTCATTTTCACAAACACAGAGCAGTTTGAAGCCCCGAGGGTCGAGGTTCACTAAGTGCTGCCTCTGTCGTTTTGTTTGAACTCAGGTGACAATCAGGTTCAGCTCACACGGCAGCTTCTCTATGATCTGCATCGAGCCCCAGAACCAGTTCTCTGGATCAGTACCTGCACCCAGGTGTCTGCTGTGTCAGACAGAACAACATCTAATCATGTAATAAACATCTTAATATTGTATTTAGAGGCAAAGTCAGTCTCTGGAGTCTCAGGGCAGTTTCCTCCTTTTCCTGGTTGTTAATCCAGACTTGACTTCAACACACTAATTTGACCCCAGTGGCTTCTGGGTAAAAACTGGTTCTTTACATACGGAGTGTTAGCAGGCAGCTATTTATCATTTAACCAGAGGTGGAAGAAGCATTCACCCTTTAGTTTAGTTAAAGTAGAAATACCATCATATAAAAATACTTACAGTATATATATAATACTACAGAGGTAAACTCTGATCCAGGTCCTGAAAGATGATTAAAAAATAGGGAAGAAAGAAAAAAATAGAAAAATTACCTAAAAAAAAACAAAAACAAAAAAAACAAAAATTCTTTTCACTTTTCTCTCTGGGCCTATTTTCACAGATTTAAAGAAATTTGAAAAATTATACTGGAAAAAAATAAATAAATCAGTTGCCTCTTAATAGTGATTATTTTCATTTCATGCTTCACTTCATTAAACCTGACGACACAAATCCTCCTTATTATGATATTATGTCTCTGTCACTTCTCTCTCTGTTTTCTCTTCATCACATTATGTTGTTTTACAATCTATAAAGCTGAAACAATAAATCCAAAGAAACTTAATCTGCAAATATTCTATAATAATCAATGAATTGTTCAAATAAAAAAATGTCAAATATTTTCTGGTTCCAGCTTCTGAAATGTGAGTTTAATGTTCATGATTGTAAACTGAATATAGGTCTGAATTTTAGGGATTCAAGCTGTTTGTCAGACAAAACAAGATATTTGGGTCTAAATTAATGATTCATCAATAAAATGATTGTTAGTTGCAGTTTTGTACAGTTAGTAAAATATTCCTCTGAGTGTCACATGGTTCCTTCACACTGGTGATATTTACAGAAAAATAAGTTCCTGTCTTGTCATGTGAAGTGAAACGGTCGTGGTGGATATTAAAGCTGAAAACGAATATTTCTGACACTTTGGCAGAACAAGACAAAAGAATCTTATTGAGACGTGAACTGAAGCTGTTTTGTCTGAGTCCACGGACAGAGACGATACACTCTGGTTACACTTCACGGTCACAGTCGACGGAGCTCTGGCCTCAAACAGTTACTTGTGGCATTTGCTCGCATTCAGTTCAAGGCGGATTTGAGTTAATGGTGTTAAAGAGATCCTTTTCTTCTGAGTGAATGGGAAGTTGTTGTGCAGAATTCCTGTGGGCTGACAAAGCGAGCAGAGCTGCAGAGGGAGGTCGAGCCGGAGGAGAGCCCTGAACCTTTGCTGCAGGTTTTAATTGGAGATCCTGCTGAACTCTCTGTGGCTGTGTTCCCGTCTGTGAAACACCAGCCGACCTTCAGTCACTCCTCAGTCTGACTCCAACATCCAGACTTTTAAAACAAGTTAACAAATCACATCTGCCTCCTCTCCTCCTCCTTCTTCTGTCTGTCTTTATTCCTTCATGGTCACAGCTGATATTTTCCCAGCAGATCAAGTTGTAAGAAACTAAGTTGTCAGTGTGATGTTCTTGTATTTATTTTGCTTTCTGATAACCATGAGATATCAAGTCATAATTATTAGTAAGTAGTAAACACAGTTTATCATGGGTATAACATACTAATTCATAATTATTATTTATTATTATACTTATATTACGACATTATTTATTATTAATTATTCTCATGATTATGAGATATTACTTTAAAAACAATTAGGAGGTATATTTATTTTATTTTTTTTCAAGTGGCAGAAATGAACTTCCGTACGAACATGAACATGATCCACAGGAATTTTACTGAAGTTTGATCCTTCGTTAACAAACCAACATCATCTACTTCCTGTTCCAGATTAACACCAATGGATTTGTGGCTGTGGTCGAGCCTCCGGCTGAGAAGGAGTACCTGGGGAAGATGCCCGCCAATTTCAAAATGATGGCCGCCCTCCTGGGAAACCTGGACAACAGTGACGGACGGGGAAAGGTCTTCTTCAGGCAGGACAGCAGCCCGGACGTGTTGAGGCGAGCCGGTAAGCACGTCAGGCAAGCTTTCCCCAGAGACGAAGGAGTGGAGCCCAACAGCGCCTTCATTGTCACCTGGATGAACATGGCCGCCCAGGGGACGTCGGGACGAGGGGACGGAGTGGACGCCAAGGTGAGCCATGTTGGGTTTTCAGGAAGCAGAAAGGTGGCGTGTATCACATAATCTTTCCACCACAAAGCACAGACAGGTTCATTTTCACTTTAACAGGCTTTTCAGATTTTTGCATAGTGGTGTTTTGAGCTAAATGCTAACATTAGCTTGCCAATATGCTCACATTGACAGTGCTACCATGCTGATCTTTAGCAGGTGTAGTCTTCAGCATGGTCACTGTCTTCAGTTTAATGTGCAACATTAGTTTTGCAGATGTTTGGACATAAATATAAAAAGGAAAAATGAAAAGCAACAAATTCAAACTTTGACCTGATGGTGGCGTTAGTTATTACAGTTATTACAATTCATCCTCAGGAGAACATGAATACATCCAACAGTTGTTCCACCTCATGGTGGCGCTAGAGTAGAGTTGTTTCTGTTTTGTAGCGATTCATAAATCTGTATATCAGCGTTACTTATAAGAGGATTGTCTTTATGGTTAATGCTTCCTCTATCACATGACCACCTTCCTCCAAACATCAGAAACTCTCTGGGTCGCTGCTGCGTCGAGGTTCAGCACTGGAAAGACTGATTGCAATTGCTCAATGTCATAAATCTGCATCTACTCTTATGTTTGAAAATAACGACCAGCCAGGATAGAAAATCAGAAGAACTGTTCCACCCAAGAACCATGACTAAGAACCGCTGCTCATCAACATCTGATTTGTTCTTTCAGAGAAACACCTTCCAGCTGGTTGTGGTTTCCTTGGCGTCGTCCTCCTGCGCCATCCTCTTGTACCCCAGAGATGGTCTTCAGTTCCTCTCCACGTCAGTCGATGGTGAGAGTAAGCTGCTAGAGGCCGGCTTCAGTGAAGGCTTGGTGTCGGGCTGGTTCTGGAAAACCACACAGGGGACGTACTTTAAAACCACCACCGATGAAGAGACCTCCATCCGGGATCTTGCTGAGTATGAATCTGGTGCCACTGGTTGACAGTTGGTGATGTTTGTGCTTTATAAGATACACAAAAAGTCATTTACAACCTTTACAATGAATTGATAGACCCAGATAGCAAATTGAAACTTCTGGTCCAACCTATGGCTGGGTCCTCGGTCTGAGTGTGGCCCATATATGTCCACATCTGGGCAGAGTCCAGCGGGTATCCTCCGGTGTTGACTGACAGGCGGAAGATTTTCTGTGTCTGCGATAGCATTGGTCCAGATGTGGAAATAGCATCTTACAGTCGTGCTGTATATGGGCCTGATTCGGGCCGTGAACCAGGCATATACTGGGAAGAAGAAAATAAACATGTGGTTCAAGTATGGGCTGGATTTATTTTGCTATCTGTGAATGAATCTACATCTATGTTCAGTACAGTGGGAAAGTAATATACAGAATAAGTTTACCAAAAATAAAAACAGTTGTCATTGGAACTAGTGACGTTTCAATGCTTATATCAAATTACACTTTGGATAAGTTGTGTTTATAACCAATAAACATTATTTCCAGAAGTTGTACTATTACAAGTTATTGGATCAAACTGTTTCTGAGACCTTCGAAAGATCAGTCTTCTCCAGAAACAGTCAACCAGAGACTGTTTCATTACAGCTTCAAAACACCAGAAATGATCATGAAGTTTCCACACAGCTCTGTCTCAGTCTGATATTTACATCACAAAGTTACTATTGTTATCCAAGGTGTTAAAACCTGTGTAGACCGATGTCTTGCTCAATTTCTGTCTTTGTACCCCTTGAAAAGGTCTTACATCAGTTGGAGAGAATTTGCAGTCAAGTATACCATTGGTTCGCAATTTACTACCTAAGATTTCCACTGTAAAGAACATACTGTAGATGTGATGAGGAGCTGGGACCGTCCACTGATTCTTCTTCCTTCCTGTATCCAACCAGGAAGACGAACTCTGGACGAAAAGGAGTTTGGGTGTACGAGATCGGTGCCTCGCCAATCTTTGTCGCCATCACACCCGGAATGCTGCCTAACCTTCCTGAGGAGGAGAAAGGTACCACCGAACCTCCTGTGACCACAGAACCACCTGTGACCATGTTACCAAGGCAACCTGATGAGGAGCAGGAGGTGGACTTCTCAATCTATGAAACCCAGACGTTGACGACAACTGAAGCGGTGCCAGAAGAAAAGGAGGAGTTTCCAACTGAGACTCCCAACGAGTACAAACCGGGTTACCCAGAGGCTGAGACCATCTCACCTGGGTATACCAAACCGGATGATGAAGAACCGGACCAGTTTGAGCCAGAATACCCTGAATCTGAGACTGTCAGACCAACATACACCAGCCCTGAAACGGTTCCACCAAGGTACCCGGACCAGCCTGAGCCGAGATACCCTGACCAAACCGAGACCAGATACACCATCCCTGAACCCATTGAACCTAGATACTCTCCTGTCCAGCCAAGGTACCCTGACCCTGATCCAGTCCAACCACGATACACCAACCCTGAACCAGTCCAGCCAAGGTACCCTGACCCTGAACCAGTCCAACCGGTGCCCCCCCATTCGCAGCCCCAGCACCCCCAGATCGTTGTGGTGGATGAAGATGAAGATCTGGATGTGAATGGTAAATCACTAACTGTCAAAACCTTTGTGCTTAAAGATCCTGAACAAAGTGGTAAAGATCATAATCTTCTTCAGTGATCCCGTCCAGAACTTCTGTTAAATCAGTTTTACTTCAGTGAAGCTGATCGATTTCGTTCTTTGGTTCTTTTCAGTGTTTGCGTACAATTTGGAGACGTGTGCCCACAACAGGCACAAATGCTCTGCTTTTGCCGACTGCCGGGATTACAGCGGTGGGTACTGCTGCCACTGTAGACCTGGTTTCTACGGTAACGGGAAGGACTGTGTCGCAGAAGGTGAGAAGCATTTTCGGTGTTACTTAAAATGCAAAGACAGATTGTGTCAAACACTAACGTTATCCCACAGTGATACCAGAGTGTAATCGAGACTAGGGAGTCAACTAGAGAATAAAAGCAAAGATTGGAGATAAGAAATCAAATTTATATAGCAGAACTTTTTTCATTTTCCCATGATGCCTCTCATATTTATCCTGTAACCCACAGGGGTCCTGATCTCCAGGTTCAGAATCACTACAAAGACAACCAGCAATTCTTAATCTAAAAAAGCTGGGACTAGACAATATTTGGCATATTCTAGTTGTCCTGTGTGTTGTATGTTCCTGTAGATATTGCAGGCGAAACCAGTATCTACTAATTGTTCTTGCCAGTCACGTTTGACGACAGAATATTTCTGTCAGAATATTTAAGTCTTTAGCATCAGTAGCAGATAATCACAGATTTGATGTTCTAGCCTTCTAGAAAGACTGATGAAAGACACTGTCTATAAGAATTTACACTGAGGAGTGGAACAGAAGGACTTTATAAGTCAGATGCCATCAGTATCTTGTCATCACTATGTCACAACATCCCAACACGACCTCTAACACGACACTCTATCAGCGGCTCCTCATCAAATCTGCGTTGTTTTTTTAGGCAAACCACAGAGGATGAATGGAAAGGTGAACGGTCGAGTGTTCGTAGGGAACTCGCCTTCGCCCATAGAACTCATTAACAACGACTTGCACTCATATGTGGTGGCCAATGACGGACGGGCCTACGTGGCCATCAGCAGCATCCCCGAAGGCGTTGGCCCCTCCCTGCAACCGCTGTCCTCCCTGGGAGGAGTCATCGGCTGGGCCTTTGCCCTGGAGCAGCCGGGCTACCAGAACGGCTTCAGTCTGATTGGTGGGGAGACGTGTTGTTGTTGATCGTTGTGTTAAATGCTGATTTTTAACCATTAGGATTGCTTGCAGGCTGGGTTGTTGCTAATGCTAATTTACAAGCTGTACAGCACAAACAGACTGTATAAAGGCTACGTTCAGTTATTTGGAGAATACGCATTACATACGTGTTGTTATGTGTTGTCTTAAAAGGCATCCGATCATGAACCCCGATATCCCCGGTGGTGTTTTCTCTCATGTCCATGCAGGTGGCGTGTTTTCCCGGCAGGCTGAGGTGATCTTCCAGCCTGGAAACGAGCGTCTGAGCATCAAGCAGCAGTTTAAAGGAATCGACGAACACGACCACCTGGTTGTGAGCACGGAGCTGGAGGGACATGTGCCCGCCATCCTGCCGGGATCCTCCGTCCAGATCAACCCGTACAAAGAGATCTACCAGTACGACAGAAACTGTAAGCGCAATAATCAACGAAAACCAAAACTGATGAAGTGGTGCAGTGGGAATCTGCCGTGCCGAGGTATTGATTGTTTTTTTTTCCTTCTCCCAGTGATCACTTCCTCCTCCAACCGCGACTACACCATCACCTCCCCTGACGGCACTGTCGAGACCAGAAGCTACCAGTGGCGTCAGACCGTCACCTTCCAGAGCTGCCCACACGACGAGGCCACCAGGGCGGCGCCGTCCACCCAGCAGCTCAGCGTGGACCAGATCTTCGTGATGTTCGACACCAGCAACCTCCTGATCCGCTACGCCATGAGCAACAAGATCGGCTCCGTCCACAGTGAGTTCAAACACCTCCGCACAATGAAATGTTAGAGAGAGGAAAACCAACTTGAAAAGGTTTGGAAAGAAGAACCCGCAAGAAATCAAATATTTAAATCCCTGATCTGAACGACTGTGTTCATCTCATAAATAATGACACTTTTCTTCTCATACTATTGATGCACACTTCCAACCATTGTGATACCAGATCATATTTATAAGGGATGGAAGTCACAATAGTTCTTTTTATATCCCTAATTAGATTACTTAGAGAGATGACGTTGATTCATGACGAGGTTGTTTCCATTGTGTTCCTGTTTTTCACTTTACTTTCTGTTAGTGGAAACAACTGCAGAGCTCCATAGAAAATATGAACCATTTGTCTGAAGTGTTGAGTAATGGCTAAAAAGTGTTTTGTGACGTCCATGTCCTCCTGGTCGTCTCTTGGGGACAGTCGGAGTCAGAGTAAAGTGATTTGTTGTTACTCGGAGGAATGCTCTGAAACAAGCCGCCGTGGTGTCTGCAGCGGCGCATCAAAGGAAGATAAACAGTTATCAGTTGGTAGCGGCTGTATTTCCTCAGCTGCAAGCTGCAGCGGCTCGGAGAGCGTTGGCAGGGGGTAAAGGTCAGAGGAGGAGGTCGTCGAGATACCAACTTGCAGTCCACAGCAGGAAGGAGATCGGGGGAAGGGGCATTAGGATGACCCGTTTTTTTTTTTTTTCTTATTAAAAAGGCGGGTTAAAGGTAAAAGGGCAGGTGGGGCTGTGGGTGGGACGCTCGGGGCTTCAGAGTTACACAAGCAAACATGACCCAGCTGGAGTCTGCTGGCAGAACGTGGAACATCTGGGTCGTGTTTCCTGTGAGGAGGAAACTTCAAACATGGAGCTCCCACATCCAGCTGCATGATGGGAACAAGGAGTTTCTCTCTGTCGAGTCATTTTACTTTCCTGATTCACAAGTGCTGAAACGATTGGTCGATTAACTACGGCTGGATGACATGACATAAAAAACCAGCAGACTTAACAAACCAAATAACATTACAAAACCAATCAGGCTCGACAACCTCAATAAAATATTAAAGAAAAACTGAATAAGAAACCAAAACAAAACAAAGGCAAAATAAATATTATTATTAAAGATATTAAATTTTCTCGACACAATCACAACCAGCCCTCTACTCCAATAAACCTTTCCCATTTTTCTAAGTGTTTTTCATTATCAATTAATCTGACAAATATTCTCTTGATTAATCGTCGGTTCAATAAAACAATAGAAAACACTGAAAAATGAGTTGATCTTCTGAGGTTGGACCTTTCACACCGAACACAGTGATGGACTGACATGGATCAGAGGAAACGTCACCGTCCTGGCTCAGACAGAGGGAACAGGTGGATCTATGGCTGGTGGTTTTCTGAAGATTCTGACAGTGATGGAGTTTGTATTTGATTTTCCTGACAGGCAGTCTCCCAGAGCAGAACCCGTGTTTCACCGGCCGACACGGCTGCGACATCAACGCCGTGTGCCGAGCGGGTGAAGGCCTCCAGTTCACCTGCCAATGTGCGACTGGTTTCTCTGGAGACGGACGCTATTGCCACGGTAACGCATCCTCACACCTCAGAGCTTTACGCACGGAAACTGTGGTGAAATTCATACGGAAAATAGATTTATACGTGTAATTTAATCAACTTTTTTAGTCACTGTGTAGAAGTTTAATTACAAATTCTCCCTTTAAGGGAATAAAAGTTACAAAGAAAACAATAGAGTAAAACACAAAACAAGAAGAATGATACGAAATAACATAAATAGAAAATGTTAACTCTTGTCTCTATCACGTCTTTTCTTCTATCGAAGTTAGCACGCTAACCAGCTAGCCATCTTGTCACTTTCCGACAGCGACTTGCTGCAGCCTCCAGTCTGTCCTGAAGACGTCGCTGCTCAGACGACGTGTCGTAACCTTTTGTCTGATAAACGTTACGACGGCTGAAGCTTTTGTCAAGCAACAAGAAACTAGTAGAAAACTTACAAACAGCTCCTTCAATGTGAAATTAAAATCAAACTAAGACACTTTACTTGAACAGAGGTTTTTCTACTTTCATGATCACTCTTTAGAGACTTGATCAATCATTCATCTGCATGTTGGTGTGTTATTGGCAGATATTGACGAGTGCAGGGAAACGTCTCTGGTCTGTGGACTCAACGCTGAGTGCACGAATCTGCCGGGAACTTTCCGCTGCGAGTGTTTGACCGGCTTCGTGTTCGGCAGCGATGGAAAGACCTGCATTGGTACGTTAAAGTGTGTGTGTGTGTGTGTTGACAGCTGTGTGGGTGGGCGGAGTGTATAGTTCCTGTGTGTGTGCCTTTGTTTGAAGAGTCCCTTGTTGCACATACAGATGTTCTAAGAGTCGCCGAGAGACCGAAACAATAAAGGTTTTGTGCGACTGTGAATGAGATGTGGAGACAAAAGACTGATGTTGTGCTTTGTCCAACACTCTGGACACCATAACACTTAACACCACACACACACACACACACACACACACACACACACACACACACACACACACACACACAGCAGCCTATTATTGAAGCCCTCCCCCACCACCTCACCACTGTCTTGTTTTTTGCACCAGACACAAAATAATGAAAAATGAAAGATAATAAATATATAAATAAAACGCTGCACGTGGTGTGACCCGTGTTTTCTGGCTGCTCCTTCAGTGGAGAACCGTCCTGTGGATCACTGTCAGAGAGGAAGCCATGACTGTGACGTCGCAGAGAGAGCGCTGTGCAGCTACACCGGAGGCTCCGCCTACCTCTGCTCCTGCCTGCCGGGCTTCGTGGGTGACGGCCGGGTGTGTCAGGGTGAGTTTACTTCATCAGCTCGTGTGTGTTGGCGTCTGCAGACCTTGGGCCGGTCGTCGGTGTTATGACTCGTCTCAGTATCAGCGTCGCTGCCGCGGCCTGTGTTGAAGGTCTGATCTGAACTTTTACTTTGTGTGCAGCTTGTTTGAAGGTGAATCACAGTGAAGAAAACATGTGCGCTCACTAAACCTTCCCCAGAGAAACAGGAACAGACTGTGGAGCGCTCAGGTGTCAGGTCACAGGTTTTCAATCCTGACAGCAGATGAAAGGTCAGCGGGAAAACATGGAGGAAACTTCAGGATTCCTGAGACATGTACCACATGTCTCTGCAGAGCGGGAACAGGAAGTGTAGTGAAATTATAGAACAGCAAAGACATTTTTTTATTTAATCTTTATTTCAGGAGAGACCGTGGCTGTGACCTCATCGATTACAAAGGTCTCACTTTCTGTCCAGACTACAACACAACCCCAGAGTTTTCAAAATAAAACAACTCCAGAGTTTTCAAAATAAAACACAACCCCAGAGTTTTCAAAATAAAACACAACCACAGAGCTTTCAAAATAAAACACAACCCCGGAGCTTTCAAAATAAAATACAACCCCAGAGTTTCCAAAATAAAACACAACCCAAGAGTTTTCAAAATAAAACACAACCCCAGAGTTTTCAAAATAAAACACAACTTCAGAGTTTTCAAAATAAAATGCAACCCCAGAGTTTCCGAAATAAAACACAACCCCAGAGTTTTCAAAATAAAACACAACCCCAGAGTTTTCAAAATAAAACACAACTTCAGAGTTTTCACAATGAAATACAACCCCAGAGTTTTCAAAATAAAATAGGTCTAGCAACATTTCCTAAAGTTTCTGTTTGCAGTGCTCGAAATCACCGGAGTCGTGTGGACGGGAGGAGGAGTTTTAAAAAGTTTTAAAATGAAAACGTAGTCGTGTGGACGTCAGCCTGAGAACAAGAAACAGTCACAAGAGACGATCAACAACAAAGATGACACAACTCCACAATACAAGAAACTAAGAAACAAAGAATAAGCAAAAACATTTATAACAGTCATAAAATACAAGATTTAAAAGTTCAGAGGGAAATGATAGAGTCTAGTTTGTGGGCAGTTTGCAGTTCATCCCGTTTAAATGGTGTAAAGTACCTGAAACCAGTTCTGCCAACATCAGTGTGAACATGAAGGATGGAGGAGTGTTTGTTTAAATTTAGTTTTTTAATTTTATTTATTTTGCAACTTAAAATACACAGAAAAAACAACAAAAAAACAAACAGCATACAGTGCAGGGAGAGGCAAAAAGCCCAATGCACCTATTTAAAACCTAAGTATGTAGAAATGTCACAACATCAAAAAATACAAAATAAACATAAAAGAAAATATATTTATTTTATATAATAAAATAACCAGCAACAATAACAATAATATCAAAATGTGAGAATGTGATGTATGAGCAGTAATAATAATACATGTCAATATGAGCAAAACTAGTGAGACATTAATACATGGACAGTAATAAAAACAGGCATAAAACAGCAGTTAAATGGTCTTTAAGCATCTTTTGTAAGATTTTATAGAGCAACAATAAAGAAAACCATTCCATGACTTGATAATAAATGTTACTGACAGGTGAAAGTAGTTACTGGCTGTAAATGTAAAAGAGATGTGAGGGAGATGTCTGTGTGTGAACAGACGTGAAGAGTCACTCAGAGTTTTACATGATGACCTGCAGAGTTTCTCCGGGGGATCAGTCTCCTCTCCTCGGCTCTGTGGGCCCCCGGGGGACAGGAAATGCTTCCACCTGGACAGGAAATGCAGAGCCCTGCCTTACAGCTGTGCAGCTCATCTCTTGTATATACATCTCCCTCCTCCCTCGTCGGGCTTCAGCTCCGGAGAGTCTGTAAAGTGAAGAATGTTCCCGCGGCTCGGCCGGAGGAGAGTGTGTGTGGACAGGAAACAGCAGGACGAGACGTCTCTGCAGAGCCTGTCCACCAAGCTGCTGATCGGACCGAGTTCAGACTCTTAGAGGTCGTGGAGCTTAAAGATAGAGTTTATGATGGTCGTTAAAATGTAAAGCTGCGTTTCCCAACCTTCTCCAGCTCATGCTCCACTTAAAAATCTCAAGGCCAGATAAAAGGTTCAAATCGTTCCTCGTTTTTTACTCAAAAACGAGGAATATATTTTTATGTAAATGAGGTTTATTGACCATAAGAAATTTCTATCTCCAAACACCGGCAGCTGCTTGTTGGTGCGTCACCACAGAAGCTGCAGGTTCAACAAAGATGCATATTTCATTCATTCATACTGTAACTGTGTTGTGAAAGGTTCAATATAAATGAAGCTTATCATCATTATTATTATTATAATATTTGTCTTCATCTTAGTTTCTCTGTGTCTGTTCAGACGTAGACGAATGTCAGCAGGATCGATGCCACCGCGACGCCTTCTGCTCCAACACACAGGGCTCCTACAGCTGCCAGTGCCATCCTGGTTTCCACGGCGACGGGTTCCAGTGCAGCCCCATGTCCACAGGTAGGTAACTGACTCCGGCGTTACTGTAGCGCTCAGACGCTCGCGCAGACTGAAGCTGTTTTTTTACAGACACAAAAGGAAGCTGTGTAACTCTGCGGCGTGGAAACACCTGGTCTTATGCAGAGCAGGAATGAGCACAGAGACGAGTGTAAACAGATTCATGTTAGACTCAACAAACAGCTGAGGCTCATCTCACTGTGCAGCCTCAGATCTGCTCAGGTTCATCACCCTTGAGCTCTGACACTGACAGACACAGTAATTAAAGAATAATTAACTGTCTCGTCCTGATGAGTCGGCGACTGGTGACAGGAAACCTGAGGTGCAGGTCACTGGTGACGTATGGAGCTGACATCATGTGTTAGGGAGGCAGATTTAAGCAGTTTCTTGAATTGATAGATGGAAATGTTAAATGAAGTCTGTAACTTCTCAATCAAACCAAGAACAAAAGACGGTATTGGGTGACGCCGTGAAGCAGCATGGGATCATGGGAGTTGTTGTCGTCAGCTTCTCCTGGTTTGGATTCCTTCAGTGTCGGTGGTTCAGGAGGTTTTTACCAGCAGCTGAATTATCCTCAGAGGTTTCCTCCCCTCCACAACAAACAGACAGGGGATTAAAACCAGTAGAAACACTGAATAAAACAGTTTCACTTTAAAAATCAGTGTTTCGTTGACGCTCTACGGCAGATACACAAGAAGTCAGGGAAGAGTCGGAGCTGAGATTGATGTTAACCTTTGTTTTGGTTGTTTCTCTGATAACTTATGAACCAGACGTTCAGGAGGTTTTTACCAGCAGCTGAATGATCCTCAGAGGCTCTGACGCTCTTCAGTGACACAGGACGTCTCTGGGCTGAGCTGTCTAACATTTCCTCAGCTTGTTCCTCTGATAACTTCAGATCCAGACGTCCGACGACTAAAATCCTTCATGAGGTTCAAATATGGAGCTGAAAACCACCGAGGTGGAAAAAGTGAATCTTAAAAATGTGACTTAAAACTGGATGAATGTTGATGTTGAGCTTCTGTCAGGCAAAAACAACACAGAGGCATTCACATAGAGGATATGATGTCATCAAGAGGCGACCATGAAACGTTACCATGATTAAAATCACAGATTTCTCTGGTTTAAGAATTGATGGAAACATAATGTAAGAACACAACACGAACATAGAACAGAGGTCTAGCTGTTTTTAGACATTTTAATGTGGAAAAGTTTCAGATTATAACTTTAATAACCATTATAAAATACTTTCCCTTTCTCTCCTTGTGTCCTAAACAAAATCATCATAATAATCTTGAATATTTGAGTTTACTTTTTGCAGCTACTGCTTTTAGACTTTTATTTTGTAAATACTGATATTTCACTGAAGTCTTTCTCCTGATCGTCTTACTCAGGTGTAGTTGAGTTCTGCACCTCTGAGTGTGTTGTTGTTGTTGTTGTTGTTGTTGTTGTGTGTGTGCTTGGTTTGGCGTCGAGCCAGAGCTGCAGACTCCCTCAGCGATTCCAGGTGTCAGGAGCTGGGAGCTAATTACAGCTTCGCTCCTCCAAACCAAAGTTTTGTCATATTTTCATCCTTTTTTATGACCTGGCCCCTGAAAGGCATCATTTACTGTCCCCTGTCAAAACTTGTCACAGCGTCTCGTACTGTCAGCAGCTCTGTTTCCCTTTGTCTCCACAGTCGGTCTTTGATCCCCTCTCTCAGGGGTCTTCTTGTGGTTTTGTCTCAGGCTGATTGTTGGGAGCAGACGTGTTGCCGTGAGGACACTCTGCTGTCTGCCAGACACGATTGTTATGGCTGGTTTGTGGTTCGTCTCGCAGATAGATACCCTTGAGGATAAGAGTGTGAAGAGACAGAGGCTCTTCCAGATGTCACCGTGGCCCCTGGATGTGACCGCAGAGACGAAGATCCTCCTGCTCGTCTCTAATCTGTGGTTCTCTCCGCAGCTCAATCACATGTTTATCTGCAGCTGCCACGTCCCGAAATCTGTCTGTTCACGACTGAGAAAACTTTAAACAAAGTTAAATAAACTCAGACGTGTCAGGGGCTGTGGTGCAGGTTATTTATTAGGTTGATTAAAAAATTACAGCTGATCAAGATCAAGCAGTTTTCTGACAGTGTAAGGCAGCAACCAATATTATCGGTTAACACTGATTAATCTTTTGGCCAACATGCTAAAAAATGTCACAGTTTAGTTCGACCAACAGTCCAAAACCCAAAGACATTCAGTTTACTACCATGTAAAACAAGGAAATGCATCAGATCCTGACATGGGAAAAGCTGGAAGCTGACAATGTTTGGTGTTTTTGCTTAAAAATTACTCAATTAATCAATTGTCAGAAATAGTTGCTAATTAAACTGCTAATTGATGCAGTAAATTGATTAATCAATTAATAGTTTCGAGGAAAAGAAACTTGTATCAGTGTTTAAAGCACAAACTCTTATAATTGAACAAGAAGTAAAAAACTTTATTGAATAAAAATTGAATAAATAAAAAGAAGTTCCTGATTTGATATATCTAAAACGAACAACCATGCCCCTGTTGGTATGCTAAGCATTAGCACATTACGCTTATAATTAAATGTTATCTTGGATGCTAACATTATCAGCATGCTAGCATGATCTGCTAATGTTAGCGTGCTGACATGCTAAAAAGCTAAAACACTAAATGTTATCATGTTAGCATGTCAAAGGATTAGACTTTGGAAATATCGGAGTTAATTTGTTTTTAAAAATTTGTGCGGTGTTCGATCACTGTCTGATGAAATAAAAATATGCTAATGTTTCCATGCTAACAGCCTAATATGCTAAATATTAGCATGTCATCATACTAAGTATAAACCTGCTAAATGTTATGTTAGAGTCCTGACAGTGTAGAGTGTAATGTCCTAAAAAGGCCACCGTACAGCGCAAACCCTTTCAATTTAGGTAACAAGGGGCTTTCATCTCACGCCACGGTGTGCAGTGACACTAACAGCCTCATGGGGGCGTTGTCATAGCTACAGACTAACTGGATTTGAACCAACATTAAGGCGAGAGTCTAAAAAGACTTCTAGGATTTTGTAGCAGAGATCTTCACACTCATGACAACAACATCTAGATTCTGCAGATGTCTCACTCTGACTGTTATTCTGTGTCCTCAGAGCGGGAGAAGACCCAGTGTGAGCGTCAGAGAGAGAGCGCCCAGGACTCTGCCTCCTCCGCCCCTGGCTTATTCTCCTTCTTCCGCCCTCGGCCCGCCGTCGGTCAGTACGTCCCGCAGTGTGACGACCACGGCGCCTATGAGCCCACGCAGTGTCACGTCAGCATCGGACAGTGCTGGTGTGTGGACGCCAACGGTCAGGAGATCCCCAACACCCGCACCGGACCCGGCAACACGCCTCTCTGTGAGTCAACTCAGTCCTCCGAACACCATGACACTTAAAATCTAAGTCACAAGAACAATTAATCAACAACGTTCCTCCTACACAGGTATCAACCAAGTTGTGACTCCTCCTCCTGTGGGTCCGACGCCGCGTCCTGACGTTCACCCCGTCGCCCCAGGAACACACCTGCTGTTTGCTCAGAGCGGGAAAATCGAACATGTTCCTATGGACGGATACAACATCAAGAAGGAGGAGGCCAAACCTCTGCTGCACATCCCTGTAAGACTGAAACAGACGACATTCAGACCTGCCAACGACCTTCCAAGAAATAAGATTCTTCAGTTCTGATTCTGATTATTGATCCCAGTTTTGATCAAATCCTGGATTCTTATTACTTATTTAAATAAACCAGGAGACGATGAAAGAAACAGGAACATTTAGCAGGTGTAATGTTTACCATGTTCACCATCTTGGTTTAGCCTGTTAGCATGTTAGCATTAAACTCAAAGTACAACTGTGGCTGATGGGAATGTCATTAGTTTTGGAGGTATTGGGTCATAAACCAAAGTATTGGACAAGGATCATCAGAGTCAGTGGGATTCATCCTCTGGAGAACATGAATGTCTGAACCAAATGTCATAACAATTCATCCAATAGCTGTTGAGATAGTCTGGACCACAATGGTGGATACATCATCCACACAGCTACGCTGCTAGCATGGCTAATCAAAGGTTTAGCTTCTCAGAACATATATATGTCAGGTCTCCAAAGGTAACCAACCCTTTTTTTTAGCAGTTTCCTTCTGCTTCCAGTCTTTGTGCTAAGCTAGGCTATCTTACTGGTGGTGAAAAGCAGGCAGCCTCACCTGGGTTGTGGCTGAGGGTGAGTCCTGAGATTTGTTGTGATTTGGAGAAGAAGGCAGTTTGTATCTTTGTCGCAAATGTTTATTGATTAGCTCAGTTTACTGACAGATCAACGGGGAAGTGTAGTCATTTTTAAAAGCGTAAATTTTGAATTTTGAATGTCGTTACCGTTCGAATATTAAATTTTCTCCATGAATAAATGAATTTGGAATAAAAAGTGACAGCCTGAGGATAACGGCTGAGATCTTGGAACATGACAAAAATGATTCTTGGCTTCTTCCTGTTTTTGTCCTCGTATGTAAAGATGTTGAAGAACATACAGAGTCACACACTGTCACTGTTCATCATGAAACAATGAAACAATCCTCCGTTTGTTCTTCAGCAGATTTCAGCATCTGAACTCTTTTCTTCTCTGTCATGAAGTCCATAAATCTTCAGTCATTCAGCAGCGTTAATGCACTTCAGCTGAACACAGAGCTCTCCGTCAGTGTCGGCGTCGTCGAGCTGATGCTCTGTCGCTTCAGACAAAAGACTCTTTGAAAACGTCTCCAGATGAATGAAACCATCTGTCTCCTCCTGTGTTTCCTCTCAGGACCGGGTGGTGATCGCCTTGGCCTACGACTGCGTGGAGAAGATGGTTTACTGGACCGACATCACCGGGCCGGCGATCAGCAAAGCCAGTCTGAGTGGAGGAGACATTGTCCCAGTCGTGACTAAAGGTACAACAGACGTCACTGGATTAGAAATAAATGCACAGTCACATCAGCAGAAAACAAAGAAAGTGGAAATGTGCACAACAGTTTAACTTTCATGAGTAGTTGTTCAGCCGTTCAAATCTTTCCCAACCTTTTCCAACTCCTGACCCACTCGAAAATCTCAAAAATGTTGGCGGCCCACATCCAAGCCTGTAACAAAATGGAAGCCAATTAATGTCTCCTTAGAGCAGTTTTTATTTTAATATCAATCAAACATTGGCTTATTACAGTGATAGGCTTTGATAATTACTAATTAATAAAATTTTCTCTACAATTGTACTTAAATTGTTGTTAAATTGTTTTGCACACGATTTGCTCACTTGCAATACCTTCGCAGCCCACCAGTGGGCCCCGGCCCACGGGTTGGGAACCAGTGCTCTAGATTATTTGATCATGACGAAAAGTCGTACTACCTAATTACTGGCCCTCTAATTAGGGGCTATGTTCATTACACCCCATAACAATGAAAATTTTGGACAGATCAAACTACAGTAAGTGGGGACAAAAATGTAAAATTTGTCCTGAAGGTGGCGCTAGAGGAAAGGTCATTAAGACCACTGTCCTCTGGAACTGTGTTTAATGTGAAAAACAAGTTTAATGCAAGAGGTGTTGTAACTACAGTTCCAGTTCATAGTTTTGAAGCTCAGAGTGAGCTGCTCCACAGCCGCCATCTTGGCAGTGTCTGACTCTGCCCCTAACTCCCAGCTAATCCAAATATGGTCAAAGAGGGGGGGTATGTGTGGAGCTGAGACTTAGGTCCATGACGGTTTGTGGCGAGCATATGCTCACCCATCTGTCAATCAAAGAGGCCACATCCTCAACCCTCCATAACTGTAGTCCTTAATAAAATGTAAACAGGTGAGTTATATAAACAGGTGTCATGAAGGAGGAAATTATCTCTAGAGACCAAAACAGTTTTTGTACCAGGCTGTAAACATGTTTATTTCTGCTGTAAAGTTGGACATTTTAACATGGGAGTCTATGGGGACTGACTCACTGTTGGAGCCAGACTCTAGTGGTCATTAGAGGAACTGCAGCTTTTGTCTCTTCAGTGTTGCTTCATTTTTCAGCCCTGGAGGTTGATGCGTGGTTTCAATTGATAATGTCCACTCTTTAACCTCTTTCTTCCAGCAGGTACCATTGACCACCTCAATCTCAGTGCGTGAAAATAGAAATCTGACACGTACTGTACAGATACAGTACACTTGACAAATCATATCAGGACAAAACCTAGATCTATTAAATTATTGCATGAAACGGTAGCAGTTGGAGTCTCTGGTCCCACAGTTGAATACACTACAATAATAAAGTTGCTTCCAGTGTTTTTTCTTTGTTTGGAAGTCACCTGAATGAACCCAGAGGGTGTTATCCTCCAAGGTTAATCACAAACCTAGTCAGTGATTGTCAAATCTGAGAGTGTGAACCGTACCTTCTGTCTTCAGAGCTGCAGAGTCCTGAAGGCATTGCCATCGATCACGTGTCCCGACTCCTCTTCTGGACCGACTCCATGAAAGACACCGTGGAAGTCTCCAAGCTGGACGGCAGCCAGCGTCGAGTCCTGTTTGACACCGACCTGGTGAACCCTCGGCCCATCGTTGCCAACCCGGCATACGGGTGAGTGATGAGACTGATTAATCTGAAACAGTATTTCAGTCACAACGTTGAGTACTAGTAGTAGCAACTGGTCTAGTTTGTTCTAACTGGTTTGGTTCTGTTGGTTTCAGGCGGCTGTACTGGGCAGACTGGAACAGAGACGGGCCTAAAATTGAGATGTCCAACATGGACGGGACAGACCGGACCATCCTGGTGAAAGATGACCTGGGACTTCCCAACGGTCTGACCTTTGACCCTGACAACCAGCAGCTGTGTTGGGCCGATGCAGGTCAGAATAATGAAGAATACCTTCCTCAGATTCATTTAGAGTAAAAACTTCTGTGAGAGCTGCTGTAGCTCCAGATGATTTCATGATCGTGTTTCCCTTGCTGACGATTTGTTGATTGGTCTGCAGGAACTCGTAAGTTGGAGTGTATGGATCCTCACCGGCGGCTGAGGAGGCAGATCGTTGATGGGATCCAGTATCCCTTCGCTCTCGTCTCGTTTGGAAGGAACCTCTATTACACCGACTGGAGGAGGTACGGACTGACAAACAGATTCACTCATCCACAGATTCAACAGGTTTTAAGTAGATGGTTTCATCACATCAGGTTTTAGTAATCGCACGACAACAATGAAACTCTCCAAAACCTTCAGTCTCATTTCCATTAACAGGCTCAGGGACTGAGTGGATTTTAAATAAACAGCATCACTGTGCTGTAAACACTGCTCTGTTGTTTGGCTGAAACTGTCACTTAAGAGACTTAAGTGTGTTTAACAGCGGTGTAAATTTGAGGTTGCTCAAACTTCACTGTGTGGTCTCGGTTAAATGTTTACATGATTTAACCTTTGGGGTTGTTCACAGGGAGGCGGTGGTCGCTGTGGACCGTCACTCAGAGAAAGAGACAGAAGAGTTTCTGCCACAGAAACGCTCTCGGCTCTACGGCATCACCACGACGCCCACGCAGTGTCCACAAGGTACAACTCATTTCAGTCAACCCCTCGGTCTGTTCAGTGAAACAACAGGAAATGATGAAGGAAAGGAATCAAGGAAATAAGGAAGGAGATAAACAATCATATGTGGTAAAGTTTAAAGGAATAGCTCTACATTTTGTAAGATATGTTTATTTCTTTTCTCTCTGTGAGTGAGATGAAGATCGGAAAGAAAGCACTTAGCCTAGCTTAGCATAAAGACTTGAAGCAGGGGGAAACAGCTGGACCTGTGACGGCCTGTTCAGTGACCCATACATGAGTCCAGATCCAGGAAACGTTAACTGATTGATCATATAACTAGGATTATGGGTACATACAGCTGGGAAGTAACAGAAATGTGATATAAAAATCAGAAAATTCATGTTCAGTCACAATACGTTTCTGTTGAACAAAATTTACACCCACTTGTTAATTAAACTCATAATTAAAACATTGATCAGAACAATCACAGACTGTATAACAACAGTTTCTAGGCTGGTCATGGGATAATGTATTAAATGAATAATATTAATAAAGATAAAGCATGCCACATTAATAACTTCTCCACTTCCAAACACTATTTGCCAAACGAGCAAATCCGCTCATTCACAGTTGAACTAAGGTGAACTCCTCGCACCGAAACAGGAAGTGCACACTTGAATTTGCTGGAACAGGGGACGGATATTGTAATGTAATATTATTGATATTGTTTCATTTTCGTCAGTCTTCGATCTGTGTGGAGGTAAAAAAAGGTTTTAATTGAGCTCCATTCGATATTAAAAAGTCTTACATTTAAAAGTGAAAACTGTAGAGACCACGTGATTTGGAAATTGTAATTCTTTGTGTGTGATTTGGGTGAGCTTGCCCTTGAACACTGAGGCTGTCCATGTTTTCCTGTCTGTTCTAACACCAGGACTCTATAAGCTCACAGCTCTGTGGAGTCTTGGATCAGCGGAGCAGTTTAATGCAGTGGGAGTACAGATGTGTTCGCTGAGCGTAGTAATTGATTCCAGACTCGTATAGCGTGTGGATGGATATAAGCGTGGGAACTCCGTGGTGAAACCAGCTGTGGATAGGGAGAGTCACAGCTGGCTCTGAGCCCTGAACTATACAGCAGGCAGCGATGAGAAACAGCTTCACTGTCTGCGTCCACCTGCTGCTTTCTCTGTTACACTAATGGGTCGATGAGTTTCAGCCACCAGTGATGAACTGATTCTCCACTTCCTGAAGCTGCAGCCACACTAAACATTTCTATTTTAATTGTGTTACGACTCCTTTTGTGGCAAGGTGAAAAAGGAGACGAAACGACAACCAAAACTGAATCAAGGAGCCATGTGTCAAGTAAAGAAAAATGGTTTATTATAAACAGAAATCTATTAACAAAAATGCAATGGTGGAGGAGGATGGGGCGAGGGGGTTGTACCAAACAAACTGAAAAGGACAACAAAACTGGGCCTATCTAGACTCAAAATAAAACTTAAACCAAAATCCTGAGTCTTATCTAATAAAGGTTAACCAAAAGTAAATACAAAGGTGGCACCAACCCTAAAACCTAGTGTGTATATACAGAGAATTCCTACGTAAGTGGAATGTAAAGGGTACCCCGACTTACCTGTGTGCACCACCTCACTCCACAAACCTTGTTTAAAAGAAGGTACTAAATCAGCTCAAATTCACAAACCGAAAACACAACAACCAGAGAGAGAGAGAGAGAGAGAAGAGGGGGGAAACACCCACAAACACAAATGCCCTTCTCTCAGCCAGGCATTTAACACTTGGCAGTATGTTTAGTCATCAGTTTTTTTTACACTGCATCACCAGCGGTCTTCTGTTAACAAAGACATTTAATGTGGGCAAAAGCTCTTTCACTCCTTGGCTGTTCGGAGAGTTTTATCTGAAACTTACGCTTCAGCCAAGAAATATGGGTCCACCGTAAAACTCTGCTCTGGGCCCATATTTATCAAACTTGTAATAATTACATTTTTTAAAATTATTATACATATATTCTATGTTCTTGCAGAATAGCAAACCACTAAAAAGCTGCAAGGATTTTTTTTAAGAGTGTACAATATGGCAGATTTAGGTGTCAATCTATACCTCTGATTGGCTATCCCTTCATGTGATTAATCATGTGATCACATGAGAGTTACACTCGAATCGCACTGCATCACAATAGGGCTGAATCATATTGTACTGCATTAGTAGTAGCTTGTATGTATCTTTAATGTACTGGATTGTTGACAATGCGTCAAGATGTGTATCTCCTCATTGGCTTCAGTGATGCAGACGCACATCACAGGAAGACATCACTTTGGTCTCTTACAGATCGGCTTTTTTCTGACAAAAATTATTAATCAATCAACATAGAAAATAATTGTTACATGCAGCCACAATTAGCATGTTTAATATCGCAGGATAAAACAGTTAACATCATAACTCAAAGCAGGAAAAACACATTTTATTCTGAAAATGAATCAATTGCTTTGGAGAACAGTTGCCGTGAATCGTCCTTAGCATATTTGAGATGTATAAACATTGGGATTGTTTGTTTTTAAGACATAATTATTATTATTTATTAATATTTTTATTTAACTTTTATTTAACCTCCTATGTAGACTCATAAAAGTTGGTGGAATACAAAAAAAACATGAATAGAACAAAGACTCAATGACTGAGCTGGAGCAGCTCTCACACAGAGGAACTGATTGACTTAATCTAAAGCAGCAGCCTTGATATTAAAGATTTCCTAACCTTCTTCCCTTGTCTCTCCCATCAGCTTATAATTACTGCTCCAACAACGGTGGCTGTTCTCACCTGTGTTTGCCGCGGCTCGGCGGGTTCACCTGCCGCTGCCCGGACGCCGCCGATGGTCAATGTGTGGAGAGGAACCTGTGAGTCTACAGAGCGACAATAACACTGCCACCGCTGGGAGAGGAAAAAAAAGACAAAACACACTTAACTGAATTTCGGTGTTTTCTACTTTTCTTACTTGAATTGAACGTTTCTACAATCATTTTAGAGTTGAGAGTTTTACGTTTTGTTGGCCTTTGAAAACTGTTCAGACCTCACTATATTTATGACGTCACACTTCAGGTGAGATAATTAACTTTCTTCCTGTTACTGTTGAATTCAGATTTGGTTTCATTCCAATATTAGAAATAAGTGACTAAAAAAAGAATACAGGGATTTTTTGAAAGACAGCAGGTAACTGAAAACCCTTTCACCAGATAATAATTATTTGAAAAGGTACTGAATGATGAACTTCAGGTTGTGTTTTTAATGTAAAACTCTTATTGAATTCTCACAGATGTGGTCTGAAAGATAAGTGTGAGAAACAATCAGATATAATTCTAATACCGTATTTTCCGCACTATAGGGCGCACTGGATTATAAGGCGCACTGTCAATGAATGGTCTATTTTCCAACTTTTTTCATATATAAAGCGCACCGGACTATAAGGCGCATTAAGTGAAACAAAACAGTCAGATAAGTCAGTCAGTCAAACTTTATTAAACACGTTCACAATAACTCTCAACATTGTTCAAATGTTAATGAGCGTATTCACAATAACTCCCAACCTTGTTCAGTTGTAACACGTAAAAAAAACACAGTCTGTTCTACTGCGTGACTGACAGCCTTGAGTCTGAAGTCCGCGTCGTAAGCGTGTCTCTTGACAGGTGCCATTTTGGGGTCTTTATACACACACACTGTAATATTATGGTGAAGCACATGTATTACTCCGCGACGCTCCTGACTACGGTAGCCATAACAACCAGAATTAATCCATATATAAGGCGCTCCGAATTATAAGGCGCACTGTTGTTTTTTGAGAAAATGAAAGGCTTTTAAGTGCGCCTTATAGTGCGGAAAATACAGTAATGTCGTAAGGTTTCTGAAAATGAAATTTTTGTTTCAGATAAAGACAACTTAAATTCTTCAATACGTTGTGCAAAGTTGAACATGAAGAATCTCACTGAGATTTCTTGACTCAACAAGAACTCCATATATGATTGTTTAGGTCTGAGTTCTTGAATTTCACCCACCAAACAAGTCAATGGTTTTGTTTTTATGAGAAGTCATCTTGCAAGAAGCTGGACACTAATCACATACTGACAACATCCAATAATGTATACAGTATCAGCACGTATATCAGCAGAGGCTGAACAACCAGATCTGCTTCTAAATACTCACATGGATAAATTACAATCATACTGATTGGCTGACAGCGGATATCTATGAGTAACTTGTTTGAGTAGCAAATTTTCAAGTTAGTCTGACTCATCATTAGTGAGTTACACCCAATCAAATTCATCCTTTTGCTGTAGTGTCGCTTATGGCCTCAATGTCACCAAAATATGGCCGCAACAGCACAAAGTGTTCAAGAGTTTAGACAAGAGTTTACGCCTACAAGGAACTGTCAATTAGTTACAACAAAACAGTTTGTAACAACAAATTAATCATTTTAGGAATCGAGGATGATGATCATGATTCAAGAGTTATGAACCAAAATGTCAAACATTTCTAACTCTGGCCACATGGTGGCACTGTTGGTTCAGTCACATTCATCAAGTTTTTCTATGTGCACATTAGCAAATACTTTTCTACCTAAATTAGAAATAATCAGGAGCTCCTCGGCGCGGGTGATGTTTCAACTGAACTGCAGTGATTTTAACACATACGTGATGTCAAATGTCTCATGAGCATCATGTTTGTTGACACGTCTTCAAATCTTTTGACGCAGTCTGTGCAGATGTGGTTGGCTAAGAATACCTGTTTTACATGAACGTGCTACCTTTTACTGACAGAAGGTTTGTCTGATTGAGAAATCCTTTTTTTAAATAACCAACTTAAATTACACATAAAACCACATTTTCTTCTTGTTTAATTGGTGATGAGGTGAATAACAGTTAAATGAAGCTGACTCAAGTTTTTCATTGGTAAATAAAACTTTACCAATCCTAAATTATTCTGTATTTTAGTATCATATATCATAAAATTAGAGTAGTTTTGTTTCTTCCCCATTACTGACATGTATGTTCAGCATTGTGGAAATGAACTCTGCATCACTATGAGCCAGTGACAGATCCTGGAACAGCGTCAGAGTTTAATAAGGGCTAAAAAAACATTTTATTACTTACAAGATTTATTCTGTTGTCTGTGCTAAAACGCAATGTATTTTTTATATGAACTTGTAAATATTTACCTGATATGCAGATGGTATTGTTTTTTGGTTTTTTTAATGGTGCTGATGTTAGCCTGAGATCTACCTGATGATGATGATGATGATGATGATGATGATAATGATAATGATGATAACTGTGTAGGTGTGTGCAGGTTGTGTCTAGAGCCCAAGTGGGTGTTTGTTGGGTTGCAGCTTCGGTTTGAACGTCTCATGTAAACATCATTTTACATTCAAGACTTGAGACAACAAATGTTTGGTTTTAAAGACACTCTCATAATTGTGAAATACGGAGGTTTATTACTGTCAATATTAAAATGAAATCCTTTCAACCAATTTAATCAAACTGTTTTGAAGGAAAATTCTCAAACATTAGAAAACTGGGCATAATTCAAATTCAAATGCAATTTTCTTTTTTTTTTGTGGAAAAGTTTTTTTAATTTTAACATTTTTAATTGCATAGATAATTTGATTTTGATTTCATTTTAATATTTCAAGGCTACCACACTGTTCTACCTGCTGCTAAAAACAAATGTCAAATTCTTTCAGTTTTTTGAGGTTTTCTTTATATAAACAATAATGGCAGTTCGAGTCCCGGTACTGGATTTTGAAACTGATACAAATATTTAAAAGCTTTATCACTCTGACTTTTATTTTCACCTCAGACTTAAAAATAAAGACATTATTGCTGAAGAGTCGTCACAGAAACGTTATCTGATGCGAAAATGTTTTCACTTCAGCCTCCAAATTTAGCAACAGATGACATTTCTATGAGAAAACTTTCTACCAGAAAATTTTCCAGTGAGCACAAGAAACTTTGGGAAAACTTCTGGGCTCTGTAATGATCACTCATGGGGGCTGCCATTTTTGTTTTATCAAACACTTTGTGAAACAGGTAAAAACTGTCTTATTAGTGTATTGTGAAACTCAATTTATCATGTGACATTTTTTAGCTCCTCACATACTGTATAAATACTGATGATTACACCACAGACACATCACTGGGCTCAGTGGGTTGTAGGTGAAGTGAACGGCAGGTTAGTGTCACGTTGGCTTTGGGAAACTCAGCTCAGGTTTTGTTTTTTTAATTGTTAACTGAAAACCCATCAGGGAGGATCAGTCCAGCAGGGCCGCACAACAGCAGCACATCACTGACTGTGGTAAATACTGAAGTTAATTTTTAATTACTTGATTAAATTACTGGGGGAACAGACATGTGCCTTATGTAAAAACAACTTTCATGTTAATTCACATTGTCTTGAATGTGTCCTGCAGTGGCAGTAAGAAGAAATAAACATGGTTGGTCAGTGTTGTGCAGCCCTGCTGACTGATCTTATGTGCATCATGTTCGGTCTGTGACATGAAGTACTGTCTGTCTGTACTGAGCATCAGCCAAAGAGGGAACATTAACAGCCTGTACAGCCTCAATAAAACCTTTTTTAAATACAAAAGTATTTGTTTGTGTTTGTGTTTCATTGGATCGATGAGTCAGTGATGGGAAAATTAGTCTTTCCTAATTAGCAATTCTTCCATGTTAGTGGAGAGCAGGGTCAGCGATAGCACATTTAATTCTAATGTCATTTAAAGGAATTTCTGTCATCAATTAGATTGGCTACAGTAGCCAGGCTAACAAAGGCTATTTTAGCTCAGAGTCTTAATGTACTATGTTTTTGACACCTTACTATACTATGATGTTTTTATGACACTTAATAACTTACTATACTATAAAGTTTTTATGACATTTTTGATGCCTTACTATACTATGACATTTTTGTGAAATTTCTGACGCCTTACTGTACTATGAGTTTTTTCTGACATTTTTTACACCTTATACAGTGACATTTTTATGGCTTTTTTTGCTTTATTATATTATGACGTTTTGTGGACTTTACATGCCTTATTGTACGATGACGATTTTTGCTTTACTATACTGGGACCTTTTTTGTCTTACAATACTATTACGTTTTTATGGCTTTTTATGTCTTATTTTACTATGACATTTTCATGGCTTTTTATGACTTACTGTACTATGACATTTATTGCCTTAATATACTATGACCTTTTTTGTATTAATATACTATGACGTTTTTATGACTATTTTTGCCTTACTATACTATGATGTGTATGGCTTTTTATATCTTACTAAAGCATGAAGTTTTTTTTTTTCCTTACTATAGTATTATGTTTTTTTGACTTTTAATACCTTACTCTACTAGGACCTTTTTTGTCTTACTATACTATGATGTTTTTTTGCATTAGTATACTATGAAGTTTTTATGCATTACTATACTACGACATTTTTTGACATGTTTTTTTGCCTTACTATAGTATTATGTTTTTTACTTTTTTTGCCTTCATATATTATAGCGTTTTTTGTATTACTATACTATGACGTTTTTTATCTTATATTACTATTAAGTTTTTTTGAGTTTTCAATCCTAACTATACTATGACATTTTTTTCCTTACTCTACTATGATGTTTGTTGCCTTACTATACTATGACGTTTTTTGCCTTACTATACTATGACATTTTTATAACTTTTTGTGCCTTACTATACTATGATTTTTTGTGCCTTACTATACCATGACTTTTTATGTCTTACTGTACTATGACTTTTTTTGACTTTTTATGCCTTATTATACTATGACTTTTTATGTCTTACTATATTATGACTTTTTTATGCCTTATTATAATTTCGTTTTTATGACTTTTTATGCCTTACTATTCTATGACTTTTTATGCCTTACTATACTATGACGTTTTTATGACTTTTTACGCCTTAATATACTATGTCGTTTTTATGACTTTTTATACCTTACTATACTATGACTTTTTATTCCTTACTATACTATGACGTTTTTTTGACTTTTTATGCCTTACTATACTATGACGTTTTTTTTTCTTTTTATGACTTACTATACTATGACGTTTTTTTGACTTTTTATGCCTTACTATTCTATGACTTTTTATGCCTTACTATACTATGACGTTTTTATGACTTTTTAAGCCTTCCTATACTATGATGTTTTTATGACTTTTCCTGCCTTACTATACTATAACTTTTTATGCCTTACTATACTATGACGTTTTTTTTACTTTTTATGCCTCACTATGCTATGACTTTTATTTTGACTTTTTATGCTTTACTATACTTTGACTTTTTATGCCTTACTATACTATGACGTTTTTTTCAATTTTTATACCTCACTATACTATGACATTTTTTTAACTTTTTATACCTTACTATACTATGACTTTTTATACCTTACTATATGATGACTTTTCATGCGTTACTTTATTATGACGTTTTTATGACTTTTTATACCTTACTATACTATGACTTTTTATGCCTTAATATATTATGACGTTTTTTTAACTTTTTATGCCTTACTATACTATGACGTTTTTTTGACTTTATATGCCTTACTATACTATGACGTTTTTTTTACTTTTCATGCCTTACTATACTATGAATTTTTTTGACTTTTTATGCCTCACTATATTATGACTTTTTTTTACTTTTTATGCCTTACTATACTATGACCTTTTTTTTGCTTTTTATGCCTTACTATACTATGACTTTTTTTTTACTTTTTGTACCTTATTATACTATGACTTTTTATGTCTTACTATATTATGACTTTTTTATGCCCTATTATAATGTCGTTTTTATGACTTTTTATGCCTTACTATACTATGACGTTTTTATGAATTTTTATGCCTTAATATACTATGTTGTTTTTATGACTTTTTATACCTTACTATACTATGACTTTTTATGCCTTAATATATTATGACATTTTTTTAACTTCTTATGCCTTACTATACGACGTTTTTTTGACTTTTTATGCCTTACTATACTATGACGTTTTCATGACTTTTTACGCCTTACTATACTATGTCATTTTTATGACTTTTTATGCCTTACTATACTATTACTTTTTATGCCTTACTATACTATGACTTTTTATGCCTTACTATACTATGACTTTTTTTTACTTTTTATGCCTGACTATACTATGACATTTTTATGCCTTACTATAGTATGACGTTTTTAGGACTTTTTATGACTTACTATACTATGACTTTTTATGCCTTACTATTCTATGA